ATATATATATATATATATATATATATATATATATATATATATATATAGGTAGACGAGAGACACATACAAAAATTTATACATATATACACAATTTGAACCTTTCAATTCGACTTTAAATTAATTTCAACACAAATTCGAACTCAATTCCAAGGTCAGCCCTTGTCTCCCTCCTTCCTAAAATAAGGAATGTTGGGCCGGTTAAGCGCCCTTGCTCCGTTTGGTATGAAAGAAAAATGGAAGGATAAAAAATTAGAGGGATAGATAAATCATGTTTGGTAAGAAAAAAAAGTAGAAATGATGAAAAAGTAGATGAATTAACTTTCCTTCCAACTCATCAAAATCAATCCCTCCAAAATCGGAAGGAAAGTGGATGAAAAATTAATTATTTGTGATGAAATTTATCTTATTTATTTATATATATTGTGTGTACATTAATTTCATATAAAAATATAATGATAAAATATGTGTGTATATATATATATATCATTGTAGGGATAAAATTTTTTGACTCAACACGATAACACGACTTGAATTCAACACAAATTTTATGACACGAATTTAATTATAAATCGACATAAACTTGAAAATGACCTGACACACGAACAAAAAATATAAAAGACTCATAATTTTATGATTCAACACGAATCTGACACGACACGATTCGATTGTTAACCCTAATTTTAGTCGTCACAAAAAAAATTAATCATTTTTATTTTCCATCCATCCAACCAAACACAAAGGAAAGAAAATGTATCATTCTTACTTTTCATCTTTAAAGAATAGAAAGTGTATCCCTCCTACTTTTCATTCTTTCTATCAAACGGAGCATAGGTCTTGGGCCGAAAGCTATGTAAGGTGGAGACTGCCCCGCGATGCTTCAGTCGTCCTCCCCTCAACTAATTCAGTGTTTAATTATTCAGCTACAGCTCTGGATGTGTTCCGGGGAAGAAATTATTGGTGCATGCGTTAAAATCTTTAACTGTCATCATCAACGTGGTATCTACGTGTCATGGACGTCTCCCAGCTAGCTGTCTGCTATTGGACTAATCTTCTTATGACTTCATCTATATATAGTAAGATTGTTACACAGCCATGATCATCTCTCCCCTCTCTCTCTCTCTGAGACGCACACACACACACACGCATATCTTCTAGACTGAGTCTTGAAATCTTGGGGGTGTTTGTGTAGCAAGAAAATGAAGGAAAACACAGGAAACCCTCTGCAATTGAAGTCATTGAATCACATATCGATTGTGTGTAGATCAGTTGAGAAATCTCTTGATTTCTACCAAAACGTTCTTGGGTTCTTCCCTATTAGGAGGCCTGGTTCTTTTGATTTCGATGGAGCTTGGTATTGTACTCACATCCTATGCTTAATTAAAAGATTCAGAAAAATAAAACCTTTTGCTTTATATGAAGAAAATATTTTCTTTGCTTCGTCTTTGTTGTTTTTCATATTCACGTATATACCGAAAATATATATATATGTAAGTGTATGTATGTGCGCATGTTTCAGGTTGTTCAGTTATGGGGTTGGAATACATCTTTTGCAATCTGAAGACCCTGCAAACATGCCCAAGATTAGCACCATTAATCCAAAAGACAATCACATTTCTTTCCAAGTACCCTCTCTCTCTCTCTCTCTCTCTCTCTCTCGACTTGATCGTCAGTTCAAAAAAAGAAGTACACGTTGATATGCGTACAAGTATGTTGTTGCAAGGCTTAAAATGACGGAATTGACCTTGGTTGGTTGCAGTGTGAGAGCATGGCAACTGTGGAAAATAAGCTGAAGGAGATGGAGATAGAGTCCGTAAGGAGTAGAGTGGAGGAAGGTGGAATTTACGTCGATCAGCTCTTCTTCCACGACCCCGACGGCTTGATGATCGAAATTTGCAACTGTGACAACATACCGGTGGTGCCGCTCGCGGAAGACGCCGTCCGATCCTGCTCACGATTCAGTTGCGGTGTGCGACAGAAACAGATTCAGCCGGTGGTGTAGCAGCACAGCACCTAATGGTGTTAATTCTCAGTTCATTGATGCTGAAGTTTCAAGTGTTCAGTCTTTTGGTGTGTGGTCTTTGTAGACTTGTACCGTGGAAGAGAATGGGTAAATTGGTCATTTACCTACTTGATTGAATTCTTCTATTTTATATTCTATAGTAATGTAAGACTCAAATAAATAAAAAATATAGACTAAATGATGGGACATTATAGTATTATTTTATATCATTTGATTTATATTTTTGTTTTTATTTTTTATTTTTTTGTAGTGGCATTACATTTGTTTATGTTGGTTGAATTTTGTTTAGGTAGTAAAGTAGTAATACATGACTATGACTTTCTTCTCCGAATGTTTTGATTATTAAGATTTATTTTAAACAGAGTTAATTATGTCTTGTCTTTCTATAATTTTGGTTAGAAACGTTTTATTTATTAGACGTTTAAAATTATTCATATTACTTCTTTCCACTTGGTGTATAATGTTCATGATCACGTAGACGATAAAATTGCCGATGTAAGGCCTTTGGTTATCCATGAAATTGTCATTGCACCATGTGTTATGGCCTTAATTTTAGCACATTTAAAAAGATGCCACGTAGTTACGTGGTATTTTTGTGAATGGCCTAAATAATGCCATACCTTGCAATTCATGGTTTAGAATAAATTCCTCACTAATTGAAACTGACAAGATCTATATATATATATATATATATATATATATATGAGGGGTAAAATATAACAGAAAATAATTCACTAATTAATACAAAAAAAATTAAGTTAAAAAATGACAAAAAATTAAGACTTAAAATAAAATTATTGTGAAATAGTAAATTCAATTTTTATTTAGCTGAAATAAAATCTGAATAAAAAGAAACTAAATAATTTTTTTAGTACATTTTAACCTAATTATATATTTCAATAAAATATAACTTTCTTTAAAATCTCTAAAATTTTGTATATTAATTAAATATAAATTAATTTTTTCACTAATTTCTTAGTAATGCGCACAATCATAAAGCCGTAGTAAAATAATTCTTCATTTTGCAAAATTTAGTTCAAATTATTATCAATCTTATAGAGAAATTTCATATCCGAAATAAATTGAAATATTTTTGGATTATAACTTTTTGCCTTTTGTATATAATTGTATTTTATTGAGTTATAGACTATTATTACTAAAAAAATGATAAATGAAAACTAAAAATTATTTTTTAAAAATAACGAACATTATGTTAGATAAAGAAAAATATTATCTTTTTGTCAATATACAAATAGATCATGATAGTTACATTTGATTTACTCAATCTAAAAATAAAATATTTATTTAGATAGTTATTGGGCCATTAATTTATTAAAAAAAATAAAAGATTAAAACCATTATTGAAATTTTCAAAAATTTAAGAGGAACAATTATACTGCAGTAAATAACTTTGTGGTCCTCATCAAAAGTGATCCAAAAATGATGGGGCAAGTGCCCACCCTAATCCCCGTGTGGCTCCGCCCATATAAGTAGGGATGGTTAAGTGGTTGTAATCTAGATGTCTTATATTCAATCATTTTTCACACTTTATAATGATTTATCACTCTTGTTTCTCAGGAACATTTTATATTCCAATTCATGTCGCGGTGGTCATCGTTGAGCTTGAAAGAGTAGTTGATGAAAGTCTGGACACTCTGTAGTTAAAAAAAAAGAGTAGGAATGATAATGGATAAGAGAAAAATGGGAATTTGTCCAATTTTTTTTTTTTTTTTGAACAGGAGATGAATTATACGTATTAGAGGGTAGATATATGTGAGAATATCTATATAAACCCGTGCAGGAATGAATTGAAACGTATACTCGCTCTGCCCCTAGCCCTGCTAAACTCGATAACTTTTTATATAATAAGGTATGCACATCGACTTCAATAAATAGGTTTTTAAGTATAGATCTATTTTTTTCCAAAGATCTAATTTTTTTTTTTTTAGCATAGATCTAGTTTTTTTTCCATAGATCTAAGCTTTTTTTTAGTATAGATCTATTTTTTTTTTCCATAGAGCTAGTTTTTTTTTTCTTCAAAGATTTGAGTTTTTTTTGTATAGATCTATTTTTCTGTGTGAAATTTAGCATGAAGATATTGGGGAGGGGGGGCGGGGAATGGGTGATAGGAGTGGAGACAGGTGTTAGAATTTATCCGTGGAGAGAGAATTGAGATTAAAACTTGTCCCGTTAATAGGATTGGACGGACTTTTTCAAAGCGAATACAAATGTGAAGACTACTCCTCTTACCCCTCTTTCAATTCACTATCATTCCTATTGCACATAAGGTGCCCATGCTAAAACTTTTGATAGGAATTTAAATTGCATCCAATTCTAAGTTTCATCCAATTATGTATTTAGCATAGAAAGAAAGTCGCACCGAAGTGGATTGCTCAATGCATTGGTAGCTCAAGTTCCGAAAAAAAAGTTTAAACAAAATCTCGTTTGGTAGCTTATGGGTGCTTTTAAAAAATATGTTTCTATCTAGTTCTTCAACATGATTTTCACTTTTAGACGTTGAAAAAGGAAGCTTGTTTGTAACCTGCATAATGTCCATATTTGGCTATTTCATAAATAGAGACGAGAGTAAGGATATAACTCGGGCAAAGTGGACACGCTGAGTGGTCATTCCAAGTTGAACCTCAATTTGAATTGAACGTAAAATCATTCAATCCGAGTATTACCAATAACATAGGTTGAACCTAGGTTGTGCAACTCCGACTAAAATTTAGACAAAAAATAAGGTACAATTCTTTTACTAAAATTCAAGTTTAATTTGGATTAAAATTGGGTGTGATTTGAGTTTAACTAAAACTTAATTAGGTTGTGACACCAAATTTAAACGAGGGAGAATTGTTTTCCACTAGACAAACCCAAGTGTTAAAAATTTTAAACAACGTACTTGAGTTGGACTTAGATTGAGATAGAGTTAATTTGTTCAAATTTGTACCCCTAAATCAGGTACTCCAATACTTGGCCCATTATGTGGAAGTGTAATCGATTTAAGCCAGGGCCTGTTTTCAAAATATGTTGGTTGCATCCAAGCCTAACCAGCCATTGCTTGAGTAATTAGCAATGTTTATGTCAATGAATGGTCAATTGTTGCCATGCTTTTACCCCCACATAGTCCTACCAAAGGTGCATCCATTAAAGGATGCAAGGCCACTTGAAGAATTATTCCCATCTTCTTCCCCAGCAAACACATGTTACACATCATCCCCACCATGGCCCGCCCATTTATTTGGAAAGATATTTGGTGAGTAGTTCATAGGGTGTCATGTCATTTCGTCTCAAGCTCTAAACACTTTTCCATTATTTGGTGAGTAGTTTATAGGGTGTCATGTCATGTCGTCTCAAGTTCTAAACACTTATCCATTAATGGAAGAAATCTTAGAGTCGAAAATACAGGCGGTGGTGGTTGGCGTTGAACAACCACAAGCTCTATGTTGATTCTTTTACAGAACTGCCAAGGAGTCAGATGACCCCTGACAATTCTATCATTATGAGGGTCAGTTCAAACCCATCGTCCAAATATAGTATTCCTTATGGAGACAAAAAATAAGACAACGAAATTTGAGAGAATTCACATATCACTGTGATGTGATTTAGAAACAGTTTTTATGTGGATTCTACGGGATTATTAGGGGGATTGGCTCTATGGTGGAAGGATGATGTCCAATTGGAAATTGAGATTAGCAACAGGAACTTGGTCAATGCTATACGCGCAACTAGTAATCCTCCTCTTCTGTGGCAAACTACTTTTATTTATGTTGAGTCTGAATTTCATCAAAGACAAAGAGTGTGGAGAGTTCTTAGAGATCTGGCGGCTGCTAATGATTACCTATGGCTAATAGTGGGAGACTTCAATATTATTGGTTCGGTGTGGGATAAACGAGGTGGCAGAGTAGGAAGTATGAGGTCGATTGAAGAACTACAAAGCTTAATTTCAGATTGTGGCATGATGGAACTTGACTTTAAGGGGGGCAAACTTTCACTTGGTCCAACAATAGGGAAAGAGATGCGAATGTACAAGAAAGGATATACCGTGTGTTGGTGAACCCACAATGGAGAGAATTGTTTCCAACAGCTCAAACCTTTCATGAATCCAGAATTGGCTCAAACCATTGTCACATTGTCATCAATTTTGATATGAATCACAAAAAAGTTTCGTATGTTTTTAAGTTTGAAGCTATGTGATTGGAGTCGGAGCAATGTGCCGAGATAGTGAATCAAAGCTGGGAGAATGGTGCAAGCAACCCGAGTATGGGATCGGTCCAGGCAAAACTACAAGATTGCAGGCAGAGTTTACAAAAATGGAGCAAAGAAGAATTCGACAACAAGAAGAAAATTATGTCAAATCTGAAATTTTCCCTAGAGGAAGTCCAAAAGAGGGAACCAACTAGACAAAATCTTTTGAAGGAAAAGGTAATCAAAATTCAATTGGAGACAATCTGGCGAGGAGAAGAACTCTATTGGTTACAACGTTTTAGAATTAATTGGTTAAAGGAGGCGGAACAGAATACGTGGTTCTTTCATTTAACAACGATCCAAAGACGTCAACGAAATTAGAGAGTGAAATTGAAAGTAGCGGAAGGAGAATGGATTAAAAGAGAAGATGAATTGAATCATCATATAAATGAGTATTTTCAGAGCTTGTTCAAATCTTCAGGACAGAGGGACTTTGGAAGGATTTTGGACGTCACTGGCAATTTGGTTGCCACATAAATGAATGAAATATTGTTTAGCCTAGTGCTTGAGGAAGAGATAAAAAGAGCCACAATGATGCAAGGGGCCCTCAAATCACCTGGTCCTGATGGGTATCCAGAAGTATTTTATCAAAAATTTTGGAATACAATTGGTTCAGATGTCTATGCTGCTGTCAGAAAATTTTTTGAAGAAGGAAAGATGTTTCAAGATATTAATAGAACGAACCTCGTCTTGATTCCAAAAGAAGCAAATCCTGAACACCTCTCTCAGTT